TTCTCATTTTAGAAGGGGTCTTGTCTTCTGTTTGGCTCTTGCACGTTATAGCAGAGTGTTTTTATTATTTAAAAAAGTTTTATTATGTGTATGTGTCTGAGTGTATGTCTTTGTACCACATGTGTGCAGGAAACTTTGGAGGTCAGAAGAGGAGTCAGAGCCCCTGGAACTGGAGTTACAGATGGTTGTGAGCTGCCGTGTGGGCGCTGGGAACCAAACCCAGGTCCTCTGGAAGAGCAGCCAGTGCTCCTAACCTCTGAGCCATCTCTCCAGCCCACATGGCAGAGTTTTAAAACAGACATACCAAAGTCGGGCGGTGGTGGTGCATGCCCTTAATCCCAGCACTCGGGAGGCAGAGGCAGGTGGATTTCTGTGAGTTCCAGGCCAACCTGGTCTACAGAGGGAGTTCCAGAACAGCCAAGGCTACACAGAGAAACCCTGCCTTGAAAAACAAAAACAAAAAACAAACAAACAAACAAACAAACAAAAAACCAGACATATAAATTCTTATCTTAGACAAACTTTCAAATGTGTATTAACACAGTTGGACAGAATTTTATAACCTTTTAAATGTATGCTTTTTTTTTAAACTGTAGAGAAGAATAGCCAGTCTTTGGCCTGTGCTTGGTACATGGCAGGTTAAGACATAAAAGCATATAGACAGGAAACCCTACAGCTAGGCTGTACAGAAGATAGCAAATGCTTAATGATGTCACTGTGAAACAGGGTTGTTGTTGTTTGTTTTGATTAGGGGCTGGAGACAGTCAAGGGCTCGGCAGTTGAGAGCACTTGCTGCCATTGCTGAAGACCTGGGTTCAGTTCCCAGAACTCACATCTAGCAGCTCACAGCCACCTGTAACTCCAGTTCCAGGGCATTCAAACCCTCTTCAGTGCTGGAGATTAAACCAAGGGCCTCCTGCCTTCTCACTGTGCTCCGGGACTGAACTACACTCCTATGCGTTCACTTTTCAAAGTCATGCCACAGCGAAGGGAGTGACATCTAGTGTGAGTTTGTGACTTTTCAGATGCTAAGGGAATCAGAAGTGTCACCTGTAAGTCTAACTATTATTTACAAGTTACTGTCTGTTCTCAAAATTGATCAGAGAACTTGGTTTTGCGTCCCAGCTGCCATTTCCACGGGGCTGGGAGGGTGGTGCCGGGGCAGGGTGTCACACACACAGCCCCTCTGCTGTCTGTGTCTCAGCATCTCTGTAGATGTACTGTTGTAGCTGGATAAGAAGTGTATTTTGTAAAAACGCACAGATTTTTGGTTGTGCATGACAGTCGAGGCTACACAAAGAAACCCTGTCTTGAAACAAAAACCCACACTGGTTATGCACGGCATTATTGCAGATGTATACCGGCACCCCTTGCTTGTACCTTACCATAGGTTGTCACTTATTCTCTTCTGGACTTTTTTCTTCTGGACCCCTCACCAGGGATGATAGCGTTCCTTCCTGAAGGGTATTCTAGTTCAGAGACTCCTTTACCTACGGTCTTTGATTGGTATAATATCCACCCCTTGTTTCCTATTTATGTATTTTCTTGTGTGTGTGCAGGGGTGTGCACACGAGTCCATGTGTGTCTGTGGAGGCCAGAAGACAACCTTGGGTGCTGTTCCCCAGAAGCCATCTACTCTAAAAACAAAAGAGAGATTTACTTATGAAATTATTATTATTATTATTATTATTAGTAGTAGTAGTAGTAGTAGTAGTAGTAGTAGTAGTGCATATGTGTGACACGTGTGGATGCCTGTTTTACAGCACAGTCGTGGCCGTCAGAGGACAGCTGTGTGGAGTCCAGTCTTTTCCTTCTACCTTATGTGGGTCCTAGGGATCAGACTTAGGGCACCAGGCTTTCAAGGCAAGCACCTTTATCTGCTGAGCCATCTCGCTGGCCCAACCTCACTGTTTGAGGCAGGATCTCTCACTGGCCTGCAACTTAACAATTAGGCTAGGCTGCTTGCCGGTGGGACCCAGGGATCCTCCCGCCTCCACTCTCTAGAATGGGGATTACAAACGTGTGCCACCACACCTGGCTTTTTATACGGGTGCCGGGAACAGAACTCAGGCTGTCACGTCACCTCCAGCCTCTTATGTGTCTTTTTGATAGAGAGTTTTCATGGTTATGCAAATCTAAAGTGTCGGATGTTTTCTCTCAGCACTTTGAAAGTTTTGTTCCGTTGTGGTCTGGCTTCTGTCCTGTGAAGTGGCCGTGTGATCATTTACCTGCCATCATCTGTTTTCTGGCTCTGCTTGTGGTTTTCCTTGTCTTTGGTGTCCCATGAACTCTATTGTAAGTGTGTGGTTTATTGGTTTTTTTTTTTTTTAAAAAAAACAAAAACAAAAAAAATGATTACCCAGCTTGTGACTTCTTGGCCTGTTTGAGTTGATGGCTTTGTATCTCTTAGGAAGTTTAGAAAGTTGTACTGTCTCTGAAGGTTGCCTTGCACCCTCCTCCTGTTTGCTTGTTTGCTTGTTCGTTGTTGTTTCGAGACAGGGTTTCTCTGTGTAGCCCTGGCTGTCCTGGATCTCACTCTGTAGACCAGACTGGCCTTGAACTCAGAGATCCTCTTTCCTCTGCCTCCTGAGTGCTGGGATTAAAGGCGTGCGCCACCACCGCCCGGCCCTACTACTCTTTTGATTGGCTTTTTTCTAAAACTTTGATAAACGTGTTTGAGCGTCTCGTTCTGTCTTCATGCCATTTAATATCTCTAATTGTTTTTTTTAACTGTTTCATTTTAATTTACTTTGTGCGCCCTCATGTGCCACAGTAGGCCATGGCGTGCTCTTGGAGGTCAGAGGACAGCTTTTGGGAACTGGTTTTTGTCTTCTACCTTGTGGGTGTCTGGGACTGAGCTCAGGTTATCAGCCTTGGCAGTAGGCAGTACTAGCGGCTGCATTTTCTAGCTCTATTGTTCTGGTTTTTTTTTTTAAATTACTATTATTATTTTCTATTTTGTATTTGTTTGTTTCTCTGTCCCCAGTTCTGAGTATAGTTTTTAGCTTTCTCCCTCCATTCACTAAAAATCACTTCAGTAGTGTCTAAACTGCTGTTACATGCATACTAAGTTGTAAATGTTTAATTATAATTTTTTTTTTTTTTTGAGATAGGGTTTCTCTATGTAGTCCTGGCTGTCCTGGACTCTCTATGTAGACCAGACTGACCTCACATTTACTGAGATCCTCCTGCCTCTGCTTCCTGAGTGCTGAGATTAAAGGTGTGAGCCAGCACATTTGGCTCAAATTAGAATATTTTTCATTTCTGAATGCTCTTTCCTTTTTAAATATTTATGGCCAGTTTTCATAGTCTCTTTCTCATTACTTGTATATTTAGCCCTTTTGTTAGTTTATGTAAATTAAACAAACACATATCCCATAATTCCAGTATTTGAAGTCTGTAGATCTCATATGTGGGGGTTCTTCTGATTTTTTTTTTTTTTTTTTTTTTTTTGAGACAGGGTTTCTCTGTGTAGCTTTGGAGTCTGTCCTGGAACTCACTCTGTAGACCAGGCTGGCCTCGAACTCACAGAGATCCACCTGCCTCTGCCTCCCGAGTGCTGGGATTAAAGGCGTGGGCCACCACCGCCTGTCCCTTCTGACTTTTTATTTGGGGTTTTTCTCAGCCTTTTTTGTTTGTTTGTCTGATTTTTGAAGTAAGATCTCACTATGTAGCTCTAGGTGTCCTGGAAGTCACTATGTAGACCAGGCTGGCCTTGAACACACAGAGATCTATCCTCCTGCCTCTGCCTCCTGAGTGCTGGCATTAAAGGCGTGGGCCACCATTCCTGGATTTCCTCTCAGCATTTTAATGGTATCCTCTTTCCTTATGTGTTTCGTAACTTTTATTTCTGTGCTCCTAGTTATTTGATCTGTAGCTAAGGAAAGTGATGTCTGGTGTGACTGTGTGTGTGTGCTTCTGACCACGTTTTTGTGTGTTTTCCTTTTAAGAGGTGGTCTCACTATGTTGCCAAGCTGCTTTCAAACTGATGACCTCAAATGATCCTCTTGCCACTGTGACAACATGCATGTGATACCATGCCTAGCCCCAGGAAAATTTATGTCACCATCTGACAGACATTGAAGACCTGGCTTGTCTTAAATTAGGACTCTAAAACAGTTTATTAGGACCTTAGAAATGATGTAGGTTCTAAACCTGGGGACATGTTTTACAAAATTGCTACAAAGAGTCCAAGTTGAGGTAGACATTTTCCTTTGGGGCTTAAATTTGCTGTCTCCTTTCCGGAGTGTAGAAATCCAAGGTCAGGCATTGGCACAGTTGATTGTCTCTGAGGGCTGTGAAGGAGAATCTGCTCCATGCTGGCCCTCCCCTCCCAGCTCCTGATGATTGGCAGGCAGCCTTTGATTTGGGGCTACACCACCGTGATGTACTCTCATATTTCCATGCTCTTTCTTGTATGTGTGTATCCACGTTTCCCCCTCTTATTAAGATGCCAGTCATAAAATAGAACGGATTAAAGATTATTTGCACCATTTCACACACATTTGGGACAAATGGCTCTGTGAGTATAACAGTATAAAGTAAGGTTTGTGGGTGTGTGTGTACACATGCAGGCTTAAATGAAGGAAGTGCTCAGGTTTGTGACTATTTGTATAGATTGCCCTGATGCTACTTTTGACATTGTCTAGCTTCCAACTAGCATTTCTACAAATTGTGGCTATTTATAGTGAACAGATATTTTGTATGTCTTTTTATTTTATGTGTGTCATTTTTTTTTTTGCATTATTTTACGTGTCTGGTATATGCAGAGGCCAGAAGAGGGTGCTGGATCCCCTGGAATTGGAGTTACAGAAGGTTGTGAGTTGCCTCCTGGGTGCTAGAATCTGAATGCAGGGCCTCAGCAAGGGCAGCCAGTGCTCTTAACCACCAAGCCATCTCTCCAGCCCTAGTGAATGGGTATTTTCTGAATGAGTGGATTTTTTGACATCTGAAGTGACCTCTTTGCATGGCAGCTAACTCAACTTTGCTTTTCTTGCTAGATGAGCTCTCCCTGGAACAGCACAACCCTTCTTTACGTCCCGAGGAGTTCCTGCCGGAGATGAGCATCATGCCCAGCGCTCATGTGGCCTTATCAGAGACTGCCCCAGGGTCCCAGCCAGGCTTCTCTGTCCTGGTCCTCTCCTCTCCATCTGCCACTACTTTTGATACAGCCTTTTTAAACCACAGACAACAGACTCAAAGTACAGCAGAGCACAGCATCTTTGCGGCACAGTATGGATCCGTGACGAGTAACGAGGTGGCCATTGATGATGATGAGATGGATAACTTTTTGCCAGATGCTCACTGGACCTCTTCAGGGGTGGCTTCCCCAATGCAGTCTGTCTCACCGAGCCCACTAGAGCCACCCCAGGAAATGCCGGAGCCTGGGATGACTCCATTGCTACCCACGATTTCTCTGCAGGATGAAGTGCTGTCTGGATGTCAGAGCACAGCGCAACAGGCAGCCGTCCACGTGGAGTCCTCCGGTGATTTCAGCACTTCTTGGTCAGCTTTTCTCACATCCGAGGGCATCATTCCAACTCCTAGTAGGAGTTTGGTGCTTCATCCTACGGAAATTCACAGCCAGTTATCAAGCAAGGCTTTGCCAGAGATGGTAGCTTCCATAACAGAGGGCGCAGAAAACCTCCTTTTCAGCTCCTGGATCTCTGTGCCTCAGCCGGTAGGCGATGGCATGACTCAGCAGCCATCTGTTCCCCTGTGGGAGGTCTCACAGCCTCTAATGGGTGTCCTGGCCACAAGCACAGACAGAAATCCTAATGGGACCACTGCTTGGAGTGAACGCCGGGAAGAAGCCATCTCTCTCAGAGCACTCCCCACTGTGACCACGTCCCCTACAGATCCCGTTTTTACCAGCCCGCTTTCATCTGTGTCTTTTGCTACCCAACCAGCTGGCATTTCAGACAACCCCTTCCTCTCTAGCGAGGCCAGCGAAACGTTAGCATCACCGCACAGCTCCACAGCCCCCAGTTTTGCTGACCATCCTCATGCCCTGAACCCTGAGGCTTCCCTGAGACCACACACATGGTGTGTGTCCTGTGTTTTCTCATCACCTCAGCAAGTTTTGTCCAGGAGCCTCACAGAGAAGGAGGTGGGATCAGGGGACGGGCGTGAAGCTCTGTCTACCGCCTCAGTAGAAGCAGGCCATCTCTTGCCATCAAGCAGCGTGGGCACAGACCTCTCTGAACTTGAAGATCTTCAAGAATTTAACACCCTTTTCCCTTCCAGACCTGTCGTCTCCCTTTCTTCCAGATCTGTGGGGTTGTGGGAGGTCGGCCTGGACATGTCACCTGAGGTGGATATGAGCGGCATTACCACCACGCAGGTGTACCCTTCCCATGGCCACCTCTCCACACCAAGTTCACTTGATTCCACCTCTGGCTTCTCCGTCACCAGAGATCTAGTGATGCCATCCAGTGTGACCTATTTGTTGTCCTCAGTCATCCCTAGCGTCCATTTTGAGTCATCTCTCTCTTTGACAGCAAATCAAACCACGCCATCCCTTCCGGGTGGAAACCCAAGCCTTCTCACCTCTCACCGTCTGGCCTCCTCGGTAGAGTCTACAGTTTTTGCGGACCTAGAACCTTCCAGCGTTTTGCAACTGGAGTCTGGGAGTCTTTTGGATTCCACATCCAGCTCTTACTCCACTCCGCTCCTGGACTTCAGCACTCCGGCCCCTTCACGGTCAGATCTTCTTGCTTACCCCTCTTTGACGTCAACCGACCCATCATCAGCTTTCCTGTCTCAGCCTCCTCTCACCGTGGCTGAGACATTCTCATTGTCCGGCTCTATCAATTTGCAATCACCTCAGCTTTTTGTTCTTAAGCCCACAAGTCTAGAGCCATCTCAGCCTTGGTCAAGCTCAGACCTTCTTATGAAGACAGTCACTCTTCTTCCCAGTCACTCCGAAATGCCCCCACTTTCAAGCTCCCCCTCTGATTCTCTCAAGTTCGCCGAAGCGTGGAGAGTTTCACTGATAGAGTCTGGTGTTCATCTTACCTCAGTTTTCTCGGAAGCTACCTCTGTCTTTGAATTGTCACTCATTCCCCATGGGTCCTCAGGCAGCACACTGGTGCCCTCCAGCTCCGAGACCACCCTTGGCATCTCAACTGCTGGGACTCACTTCTCATCACTGCCAGCTGTTTTCCATTTGACACCCATTTTAACCGGGTCATCTCCATTCTTGACTCTGACACCTTCCGATGGCAGTGTGAGTGTGACAGACCATTCCACACCTGTCTCACCCATATCCTCCAGTGTCATTCCGACCAGCACAGAGTCGATCTCTGACTTATACCTGTCAACCTCCCCATCACTTGCTTCCGAAGTAAGCCCTTCACCTATGCCCACAAAGCCAGTCATGGGCTCATCATTGACACCCACAGATTCACCACCCACTACCTCCCCAGAACCAAGTCCATTCCCGGAACCAAGCATGCCCAATACCAGCACTGCCCCTGGTGATACTGTGGACTCTGCTCTGAACAGCGAGCCTATGAGTCAGAACCCTCAGGGGAACAGTGTACCCCCTCCCCAGCCCTCCCTCGGTCCTGTGACCACCTCCACGCTCGAAGCCACAGTTGGTACACCAGCACTGGCCACAGCCAAGCCGCCATATGTGTGTGATATTACAGTTCCCGATGCCTATTTGATCACAACTGGTAAGGCCCTGCTTCCAGTCACCTCTCTGAGGTAGGGGACTTCTCTCAGGTGTTTGTGTGCGGTACTTACGAGACACACCATCGTGGTTATGAGAGTAGGTGTTGGTCTCACACAACCTGTGGGTAGCAGTCCTCCTCCTCTGCTGGCCTCACGCTAGTCGTCCAATCACTTAGTCTCTTCATCTGCTTTCACAAGTGTTAAACCAGGACCATAGGCTCTCTTAGGTTACTGTAAGGATTTAAATGTATAATGTACATGGCACCTAGGAAATGACCACACAACATTGCGTATTAGTAATTACCATAAGAACAGATAAAAGATTTAAGTGAGCTGTAGAACTTTTGGTAGTATCTTTGGCTTTGGAACTCATTGCCCAGCATATGCAGTACATAGCATGCTTGAAGCAAAACGTGTTTGATTTTTAATACTGGCTTCTTTCTTATTGGTAGCTGTCTGCTAGGGAGAGAGTCTAGACAGATTAGAGGAGTTTTTTGGGGGGAGGGGGGTGGAGCTCCATAATAATGCAGAGACCCGTGACGGGTGTTGATGGCTTGGAGGGAGATGCTTGGACGCTGACTCCACTGAGGGGAGCCAGGCATCCTTTGAAGGTCTCTGAACCTCTCTTCTCTTGGCCTTGGAGAGACTGTAGATAGTTGGAAAACAATTTGTGTGATACATGTTTCTGGATGGTTCCTGTTTTCCAGACTCATGTCCCCATCTCACAGGGTTGCAGTGTCCTGTCCTCCTCAGATTAACCAGAGAAGGTGGCAGTTCTGGTGGTGGGCAGTGGGGGTCCTTGAGTAGCACTTAGCTATCCTGAGTGGTTCATTAGCTGCACAGGGCTGTTTGTGGTATGCACCTCCTGTCTCCATTGAGTTCTTCGGAGTTTGGTTTTCTGTTACGCCTTGCTTTCCCTGAGTTTGGCCTCTCCTGCTCCCCTCTCCCTCCCTCATTCCTCCCCTCTCATTTCATTTCCTGTGTACCATTCATGACCTCGTCTGGTCCTCTCAGAGCCTGGCAGGCCAGGGCAGTTGGCTGTTGGTGGAATCAGCCAAGGTAGTTAGGTGGAGGCCATAGATTTGTTATGATGACTTCAGGAACTAAAGAAGACACACCCCTCACCTTTTTACTACATGTCACTGATTTACCAGAGAAACAGTCAAATAGCTTAAGCATTTGTTTTTATAATGACTGAATGAGGATTGATTCTGTCTCAAGTTTTAATAATTTGAGATAGGATAATGGGAAATTGAATGGTGGGACTAGAGAGATGGTTCAGCGGTTAAAGAACATGCTGCTCTTGCAGAGGACCAGAATTCAAGTACCAGCCCCCATGCCGGGCGCCCCACAACTGCCTGTAACTCCAGCTCCAGGGATCTGACTTCTTTTGTTCTCTGCAGTCACCTGCAGCCCTTTGTAATTCACAGACACACGTACACACATTAAATCTAAAACAGAATAACCACATTAGCTATATTACAGTTGTACCTATGGAATGGAAGGGAAGGGAAAAGCACCATGGGATAGAAGGGAAGGTTTACAGACACTCACAGACACAGATTTATATTTTTATTTATTTTTTAAAGATACTTTGTGTGTTTACAGGTGTCTGTGGAGGCCAGGAGAGGGCTTTAAACCTTGACCTTGGAGGTTGTGAGCTGCCTGACGTGGGTGCTGGGGATTCAGCCTGGGTCCTCCTCAAGCGTGTACTCCAAACCACACAACCAGCTCTCCAGCCCCAGTACAGATTTTTAAATTGGACTTTTATGTGAACAGAAAAAACTAGACTTTGGAATGAGAAATATTTTATTTCCTGTATAAAATGTTACAACTTGGACATTGTAGTGACATTTTCTCCCATTAGTTGTGGTTAGCACTCCGGCAGCGGCTTGGAACACCTCCTTCTGTGGAGGATGGTATCACCAGTTCATTGAGTAGCGTCTTAATGATCTTAAAAATATTCCTTCTGAGAGCTTTTAAAGCCTCAACCTTTGCCGTTAGGTGCATAGCTGGAGAAATTCTGTTACTTGTTGAGAAGAAAGTGGGGACTGGAAGCTCCCTGTCCCCTGGGTGGACCACAGTTGCTGCCCTCCGGTCCTACCCGCCAACTTTCTCAACACGTCCATTTCCTACAATACTTCACAGCACTTAGATCTTTCTACTCTGTCCTTAGTCTGGGCCTTATATTTCAAAACAAGCTGCTAGCCTGCTTCGTCTCAGCCATGCCTTCCTGAGGTGACATCTTCATGCTTCATAATAGCACTAAAATGTGTCTGGTGGTTGGCTTTCCTTTGTAGTGCTGGCCAGGCGAGCTGTGCAGGAGTACATCATTACGTCAATCAAAGAAGTGTTGAGGATTCACTTCAACCGTGCGGTGGAGCTGAAGGTGAGACCCTGAGCGTGGGAGTCTGGTGTCAGACGTGCTTGTTGGGTCTCGTGGGGCAGGGTAAGAGCCCTAGGCTCTGCACTTTGACTTCTCTGTCTCACTCCTCTCCAGGTATGCAGTTTTCCTCCGCATCTCCGCTCACATGTCATTTTACCCTGTGCAGTGGGGAGTGCGTTTATAGAGTTGGAATGAGGAGGCTCTCAGACCAGAGGCAGCATAGTCTGGGGCGACCTTAACAGTATTGCTATCCTTGAGTTACTTTAATCAATGACTTGGGGCTGGGTGATGGTGGAGCACGCCTTTAATCCCAGCACTCCGGAGGCAGAGCCAAGCAGATCTCTGTGAGTTCGAGGCCAGCCTTGTCTTCAGAGTGAGTTCCAGGAAAGGCACCAAAGCTACACAGAGAAACCCTGTCTCGAAAAAAAAAAACCCAAAACAAACAAACAAATGACTTGGGCTTATGTTAGGTTTCAGAGTGGAGTACATTTGTATCTTTCTGTACATTCAGTGTGACTGAGATGGATTTCTACACTGGTCACATTACACCCACTGATGGTGTCCCTTTCCCAGATGAACTCAGAAAGCCGTGTTCTACTAGTCCTGCCCCCTGTCCAACCAGAGCCATGAGCCTGGCCTGAACTAATAAGATGCATGGTGAATGTAAACTGCATGCCAGATCTCAAAACTGCACCAAATAAAGGAATGTAGACTATCTCACTAATACTTTTTCTACTGACTACACATTGGAACGATGTTCCCCATATTAAGTGAAATGCATTTAAAATTAGCTTCCCCCATTCCTCTGCTTTTACTGTGGCCTTCATATACTTTAAGATTGTGTAAGTGGCTGTCATTGTGTTATTTTAAACAGTGAGACTCAATGAAACAACTGCTCCTTTAGGTGTGGGTTAAACATGACAAAAATCTTGAATTTTCCGTAACGCACTGTCCAATCTGTATTACTGGCTGTCCTTTCTTGTTCCTGTACTTTTGTGTTATTTTGTGAAAGTTGGGATAACATAAAAGGAATACATAAAATAAAAATCTTGATTATCTTTGAAGCATTTATCCACCCATTTAAGCTGCTGATTTTATATATATATACATGTATATATGTATATATATAATTATATAATTTTACTCATTATTTTTTTCTACCCAACAGTTTTCTTTAAGTTTGAATTGTCTTTTTTAAAATGTTTTATTTCTCTAGGTTTATGAACTGTTCACAGACTTCACTTTTCTGGTAACATCCGGTCCTTTTATTTACACGGCAATATCCGTCATCAATGTCCTCATCAATAGTAAACTTGTACGTGACCAGACTCCTTTAATCTTATCTGTGAAACCATCTTTCCTCGTGCCAGAGCCCAGGTTTCAAGTTCAAACAGGTGAGACAACTGAGTATAGCTGTTTGGGTTTGTGTGTAGGCTTTTATTTTTTTTAAATATATATGTATTTAAAATTGGGGGGGCGGGTTATGTGCTGGTGAGGGCTCAGCAGGCGGAGGTACTTGCTGTCAGAATTGAAGACCCACGTTTGATCTCTGGAACCCGCGTGGTCGAAAGGAGGGAACTGACCCTGTGGGTTGTTCTTTAATCTCTATATACATGTGCACACATGCGTGTGCACACACATACAATAAATGTAAAGATTGAGGATTGTGCACACATGTTGTGCGTAGACACATACAGGCAAGACACGCATACACATAAAAATAAAGACAATCTCAAATAATTTTTAAATTGGGTATTGTTTTAAAATTATTCATTAATTTATTGTGACAGTCTTGCCATGGTCCTAGTCTGGATTTGAGCTTCTGGTTTTAAGCAAACCTTCTGACGTGGCCTTCTGAGTAGCTGAGACTTCATTCATGGGCTACTGCACCTGGGCCTGTTACTTAACTAGCAACAGTAACAACAGCTTTATAATTATGAAAAAAAGCCAAGCATATACAAAGGTACACAAAATAGTTTAACGAAACCCCATGTGCCATTATATGTCTCCACAATTTTTTAGTTACTTTTTGTTTTTGTTTTGTTTTGTTTTTGGTGTGTATTATGTGCAGGTAGGTGCACATGTGTGTGCATGCATGTGAAGGCCAGAGTATGACCTAGGAGTTATTGCTCAGGTGCTGTCCACCTTGTATTTTGAGACAGGCTATCTCACTGGCCTGGAACTCACCGACTAGGGACCTGCCTGACTCAGCCGCCCTGGCACCGAGATTATAAGCACCACTGTGTTTGGGTTTTTCTCTCGTGGGTTCTGGGGGTACAAGGCACGGCACCTTATTGGTTGAACTATCTCCCCGATCATAACAATTTTCAATTCTTAGTCAAGCTTTTTGTACCTTCTCTCCTATTCACTTCTCCTTCCATTACTTTATAGTAAATCTTAAAGGACCATAAAATGTCACTCATGTGTTTCAGCCTGTACCTCTACAGGAAAAGGACTATTCAACACAGATGCACATCTGTCCGTATCATCACACTCCCTAAAGTTAATAGTAATCGCTTAATACCTTATTTAACCTTTCATTATGGACATTTTCAATCATGTACAAATTAGAATACATAGCGTTAAGTTCACATATGTTTTAATAAGCTTAAAAATAATCAAGATTTTTACCAAGTTTTCAAGCAAAATTGATAAAACTTTTTTGAAGACACAAGAATGTTTTTAATGAGCTGGGTGTGATGACTCACACCTGTAATCCCAGCACTCGGGAGGCAGAGGCTGTCGGATCTCTGTGAGTTGGAGGTCAGCCTGGGCTACAAAGTGAGTTCTAGGACAGCCAAGGAGGTTAGAGAGAAGCCCTGTCTCGAAAACAAAGACACCCAAAAAAAATTTTAATATGCTGCCAGATGTCATGTCGTTTCATCTACATGTACTTAATAATTCATCTGTAATAAATATTATATGTATTTGAAACGTTTATGAAGTACATCTTCTAATGTGTAGATTTTTAACTGGACTTGAACTCCTGGTCCCAAGTGGTTTTTCTGTCTCAGCCTCCTGAGTTGCTGAGCCCAAAAGCATGCCATTCACCTTCACATGCATGTGTTCATGTGGTAAAAAAGTTGGCTTTCTACATTTTCATGAGATGAAACTTAGAAGTAATAGGACTCATCCTTGGCTCCAGGAAGCAGCCAATCAGCATCACCCTGTAACCTGAAGAAGCAGTTGAGTAGCCCCATCTCAGGAACTTGCCCGTTGAGCCTCTGTGGAGCAGGCACACATCCTGCTTTGTGACCTGGGAAACAACCTTGTTAGCCCACCTTAAGCAGCTTTGCCCTCAGAGATGCCCTCAGAGTAAATCCAGTGTGTATCCTTCATCCCACCAGAGCTTTCTGCCTCCTCAGACCTAGAGTGTCACCCACCATGACCCAGCCGGGTAGCCTCTCTCCTAAACAACCTGTGGAAATGGACGTGTAGCCCACAGTTGGTGGTACAGTCTCATAGCCTCTGCAGCCTCGGCCGTGAAGACGCTTGGAGACAGCCTGTGTTGAGTCTAGGTGAAGGAGTTTTGCAGGCACTGTACGGAGAGCACAACAGCATGATGTTTCCAGGTGGCACTGTAGGACACGTGGCAGGAAAAAGCCGTTGATTGTGGAAGCATCCCATAAAAGCGATAGGATGGTGATAGATGGCTAGGCAGTTCCAAGGCCACACCGTTCTTTTTTTGTTTGTTTGCTTTTTTCAAGACAGGGTTTCTCTGTGTAGTTTTGGTGCCTGTCCTGGATTTCGCTCTGTAGGCCAGGCTGGCCTCGAACTCACAGAGATCCACCTGGCTCTGCCTCCCGAGTGCTGGGATTAAAGGCGTGCGCCACCACCGCCGGCCGATGCTCACAGCTCTTACAGAGAACGTGAATTTGTTTCCTAGCACCTGTCTCGTGGCTCGTGGCTGCTGTGCCCCGTGGCATCCGACGCCCTCTTCCGGCTTCCACAGGCACCTGCACCTTATTTGCATGTAATTAAAAACAAAGCATATTTTAAAAATGAGAGAGGCAATGACTCCAGTAGGCAAGCAGATATTGATATAGGGACACGGGGTAGATGAAAAAAACAAGACAGCGTGGTACCTTGAAGAACACAGTAACTTTCTAACAGTAAACCCTAAAGAAAAAGAAATTAATGGATTACCTGGAAAAGAAGTTAAAGAAAAAAGTTAAAAGAAAAATGTCTGTACTACCAAGTGACCTGTAGATTCGTTGCAGTTCCTGTGAAACCACTAATGGCGTTCCTCACAGGTATAGGGGAGGGCTAATGGCGTCCTCACAGGTATAAGGGAGGGCTAATGGCGTTCCTCACAGGTATAAGGGAGGGCTAATGGCGTTCCTCACAGGTATAAGGGAGGGCTAATGGCGTTCCTCACAGGTATAAGGGAGGGCTAATGGCGTTCCTCACAGGTATAAGGGAGGGCTAATGGCGTCCTCACAGGTATAAGGGAGGGCTAAAGGCGTTCCTCACAGGTATAAGGGAGGGCTAATGGCGTTCCTCACAGGTATAAGGGAGGGCTAATGGCGTCCTCACAGGTATAGGGGAAGAGGGCTTCTGAAATTTGTATGGAACCCAAAGCAAAACAAATCCCCCAAAGAGAACAGGCACAGTAGCCTGAACAAAAGAGTACTGGAGACATAGTACCCAGTCTTAAAGTATATCACAAAGCAATAATAACCAAACCGTCATGGTGTTGCAGAAGGGCAGGCATGGAGAACACCAGAACAGAAAGCTCAGAAACACGTGATTTTTGACAGAAACAACAAGAACATGTATTGAAGAAAGTGTAGTCTTTTTAGTAAACCATACTGGGGAAACTGGATGTCTTTATGAAGGAGAAAAAAACTAGACCTCTCTCTCTATCCCTTTCTCCTCCCGCCCCACCATACTTAAAAAAAAAAAAAAGCCCTCCGAATTGAGACCAAATTGTGGGATCTTAACCTGTCAAACTGATAGGAGACACTGGAGAAATGCTTTTAGGATGATGGTCTGGGCAAAGAACTTTTTTTCTTTTTTTTTCTTTTTTTTTGGATATGACCACAAAAGTGTAGGTACCCAAAGCAAAAACTGACAGATGGGTTCACATTAAGTCTCTTGTACAGCAACAGTAACGGAACAGAGTGGAGAAACAGCCTGCAGAACGGAGAGACCATTTACAAGGCATCCGTTTCCAGAATACGAAGGGAGCTCAAGCAACCGAGCAGCAAACCCCTTAAGTAATCTAATTTTAAAAATGGGCAGGTTGAGCAGATGGCTTTAGTTTGTAAAGAGCTTGCCATGCCGGCAGGCAGACGTGAGGAACCTGAACTTGACCCTCAGCACTAATGTAGAAGCTGGGTGGAAAGCCCCTGTGACCCCAGCACTGGGGGGGGGGGGGGGCGCGGCGGCGCTGGTACAGGAGGATCCCTGGGCTTGCCAACTAGCCAGTCTAGCTAAATCACCAAGGTCCAGATTCAGTGAGAGACCATGTCTCAAAAATAAGGTGTAGAGCAATTGAAAAGGACACCTGACGCTGATCTCTGGCATCCATATGCGTGTGTGTGTATGTGTGTGTGTGTGTGTGTGTGTGTGTGTGTGTGTGTGTGTGTGTGTGTATATACATACCCCTCCCACAAGCAATGGGAAAATGGCCAGGAGAAAATTGCCAGAATAAACATTTTATAGAGCAGGATATACAAATAACCAATAAGGATATGAAAAAAATGCCTAGCACCACTAATCAGGGAAATGTACATCAAAACCATGAGATACCCTCTTGCCTCAGAAAAGCTTATCCAAAAGATGATATTAGCCCATGCTGTTAAGGACACAGAGAAAGGTGATTTCACACGTGCTGTGTTTTGTTTATTTGGATTTGTGTGTGTGTGTGTGTGTGTGTGTGTGTGTGTGTGTGTGTGTGTGCGCGCGCATGCGTGTACATGGAGATTACAGGACAACTTGTAGGAGTAAGTTCTTTCTTTCACCATGTGGTTTCCTGGGATCAAACTCAGATCATCGGGTTGATGGCAAGAGCTTTTGCCCATTGAGCCATCCTGCTGGCCCTGATTTTTTTTTTTAATTACACACACACACACAAACACACACACACACACATAGTGTGTATATGTTTGCAATGAGTTTATGTGCACCACAGAGGCCCGAGGGCATCAGATCCCCTGGATCTGGAGTGACAGGATGTTGTGAGCCACCTGCTGTGGGTCCTGGAACCTGAACCCAGGTCCTCTGCAAGAACAGTGAGGCTTTTTGTTGACTGCTGGGCTGTCTCTCCAGGCTCTGCTTTTTTGTCTTGTTTTTGAAGACAGGGTCTTGCTTTATAGTTCAGACTGTCTTACTTTCACCCCTGATCATATAATGTTGATTATACAGGCATCATAGAAAACGAGAAGTTTACTGTATTGTCCAGGAATCACTCACACTCTCTCTCTCTCTCTCTCTCTCTCACACACACACACACACACACACACACACACACACACACACACACACACACGTAAACAAAATGAAGGTAGTATGTTGGAGAGAGGTCTTCACTGTGTCTTTTTGCAGCTATATTCACAGTAAGCAAGATAGGCAATCAACCCGTGTGTTCATTGACAGATGAACAGATGAAGAGTTGTGGCATATGTCCGTACTGGAATATCATTCAACCACAAAGAACAAAATTATCCAGTTTGCATGGATGGAACCGGAGGATGTTATACTAAGTGAACTATCCGGAACAAAAAGCCCATTACCACATGTTCTCACCTACCTTGTGGAAGCAGATCTGAAAGTCAGGTGTAGAATAGTGATTTCCAGACAGTCTGGGGAGGAAAGATAGAGTGAGGAGCGCTAACCCCTCCAGTGTGCATCTGGGTAGGAGTTTCTTTGTGTCTGATAAAGTAGGAGAAACGTGCTCAACAACAGTAAGCTGTATATTTAATTAAAAAAAACCTTCATTTTATTTTAAGTATGTGAGGGTTCTGCCTGCATGTATCTCTGCACCATGTATGTGTAGTGCCCTCAGAGGCCAGAAGAGAGCATTGGATTCCGTAGAACTGGAGTTAGATAATTGTGAACTGTCCCATGGATTCTGGAAATTACACCTGGGTTCTCTGGAAAAGCAGCTGATGCTCTTAATTGCTGAGCCATCTCTCCAGCCCCCAGCTGTGTGTTTCAAAATAACCGGTAGGGAGAATTTTTTTTTTTTTACTTTTTTTTTTTTTTTGGATTTTCAAGACAGGGTTTCTCTGTGTAGCTTTGTGCCTTTCCTGGAACTCACTCTGTAGCCCAGGTTGGCCTCGAACTCACAGAGATCCACCTGCCTCTGCTTCCCGAGTGCTGGGATTAAAGGCGTGCACCACCACCGCCCGGCGGGAGAATTTTGAACATTCCCAATATAAATAATAAATTTCTGAGCAACAAATACATCATTGTGTATGTGTATTAAAATGTTACTGCCTAACCATCAATATGCAGAAGAAAGAAAACAGACTTCTGTCACTCACCATAATTACTGTGTTAAATAAGAACAAAAAGTATGTTTCACAAGGCTATCTTAAAAAAAAAAAAAATTTGGAGCCTAGAGAGATGGCTCACCAGTTAGGAGCGCTTGTTGCTCCTGCAGAGGCCTGGGATTCAGTTCCTAGCACCCATATAGTAGCTCACAACCATCTGTAAATTCAGTTCCAGAGGATCCTACGCCCTCTTCTGGCCTCTGCACACATGTCATGCGGACATAAATGCAAGCAAAACACCCCCACACATAAGATAAAAATAAGTGGTGCTTAGTCAGACAGTGGATGCATTAGTTTGCGTCAGTACTGTCCCCTCCTGTCATCCCTGGTCTTTAAACAGCACCTCATTCACGGGACTGGACTGCTCTTTCTCTTTCAGTACTTCAGTTCGTGCCTCCAAGTGTGGATACTGGCTTCTGCAACTTCACCCAGAGCGTTGAGAAAGGCCTGATGACGGCTCTCTTTGAAGTGAGGAAACACCAGGGGCCATATAACCTCACAGTGCAGGTGAGTGCGTCACTGCCACAGGGCAGTGTCCTGTCCTCCACGGGGTTTCATTTAAGATGCGTCCTCCATGCTGGGTGTAGTGGTGCACGCCCTTAATCCCAGCACTCAGGAGGCAGAGGCAGGTGGATCTCTGTGAAGTCAAGGCCACACTGGTCTACAGAGCAAGTTCCAGGACAGCCAGAGCTACATAGAGAAACCCTGGGGGTGGAGGGAGGTGCAGAAAAGGATGTGTCCTCCGGTGGCGGGAACCCAGCTCGTGTGGGCCAGGGTTGACTTTGGGTAAGGCATGGAGTCCACAGCATGACTTCAGAGATTTCAGAGTGACTGCGAATCAGGGAGTCAGATAGTGAGTTGAAGAGCTGGTCGTATGCAGGAAATTCAATCATGTTTCCCTAAGGAATGATCTTAACTGTACCGTCAACGAGGCAATGTGTGAATGCACTTTCCTTTCCCCACAGTGTGAGTGTCCTAGATCTGAAGGGCTTGGTGCTGGAATTGTGTCAGGTGACGGAGCCTTTGGGTTTATTTGGGATATTCTGCATAGACTTCACTCACTTTTCTCTAACCTGAAAATAGGAAATGATCCAAAATCTAAAACGTTCTGTGCATCAGTGATGACGCTCCGAAAGATTCGCACTTTGGGGCACTTCGGTTTTCACACCTGAGATGCTCCACCTCTGTAATGGGGCTTTTCTGGGATGTGGCGTCTCCGTCTAACAAGTGGTCCTCAACCTTCCTAACCCTGCGACCCTTTAACACAGTCCCTCATGTTGTGGTGACCCCCAACCAAAAATTATTTTCATTGCTACTTCAAAACTGTAATTTTACTACTGTTATGAATCGTAATGTAAATATCTGATATGCAGAATACCTGATATGTGACCCCTGCGAAAGGACAGTTTGACCCCCAAAGGGGTTGTGACCCACAGGTTGAGAACCACTGTTCTGAAGAGGGCTTTTTTTTTTTTTTTGATCAACAGACTGGCTTCATGTACATTCTACGCAAACCGCTGATGTTTTATGGCGTGGCACACCCCCCACACACACACCCACACCCACACATTGTTCCCTGTCTGAAATGTATATTAACTCTAGATTTTGGTGTTTTGGAATTCATTTTTGTGCCTCTTAGTTTTCCTTCACATGGCATGGAACTTTATGCTCTGTTGGAGATTTTGGGAAGTCTGTCCTCTGAGTCACTAATTTTTCCTTCAGCTGCACTCATTCATACTGAAATTTCTGGCTAGTCATTTCCCTGCATTGTTCTTTGCTCCTTTCTCATCACATCCTTTGCTGAGATGTTCGAGAGTAGCCTTCCGAGTCTCAGAGGACATTAAGTAGGATGTTCAGCAGTTTTTCTTCTGTGTTCTTCCTGTGTCTGTATCCTCCGTAGTATTGTTCTATATGCCAGTCTTTGTCCTTTGCTTTTGTGCTCTTTTTCTGTGTCTTTGGGGGCTGTTGGTTGGTAGGAGGTTGGTTGGTGATGAGGGGTGGAGATTGGGGTTAATTAATTACAGTGTTGGCCTGGCTGCCCTCTTTGGCTATGGAGGCTACCTCTCCGTCAGCCCTGTCTCCTGATGGGAGAATTCAGCTGAGCTCTGGGGGCTGGGTAGGCTATATCAGACCACACCGGAGCATGGTGTTCTGTACAGGCAGCGCTGCACAGCTTGTGGTAGAGAGGAAATGGGCAGGCTGGCCCTGCCCTGTGTCAAGTCCAGGAGGCCCTCCTCTGGGGATGGAGCCCTGTGAGTGTTTTTGTTTTTTTTTTTCATGGCACAGACTGCCTTTTATGTCTTGTGAGCTCTGGCATACACTGGAGTTATCCATCCGCCCCCCTTGCTGACGGTCTTAACCCACAGGAGGCCTTTGGTCTCCTCTGGGAGGGGCTCGTTTTCCTCTGAGGGCAGTTCTTTGGCTGTTGTAGGAGGTGGCAGTGCTGGGGCCTGCATCGGTCGGCCTGGGTGGGGTGTGGGTTCGTTCGGCAGGAAGAGGGAGGCTTCACCCTTGGCTCGCCTCCTCTTAAAGAGCTGAGCCATGCCTGCTACTTCTGGTCTCAGGTCTTCAGCTCTCTCCGGGGGGCCTCCCCAGCCTCCCTGAGGGGAGAATGAGACTGTTTTAGCCTTTGCCTGTGTGTGTTCAGGCTCTTGGCTCTCTCGGTCCTGGTTTATTTCAGCGCCATCCTGTCCTTACTCCATCTTTTAGAAATTTGTCAGAACTTCTGGTTCTCTTCCCTCCTCAGCGCTGTGGTGGATTTATCCCTTTTGTTCGACTTACTGTCCTTCCCTGGGATTTGGGGCTGGAGGGGGAGGGGCTGTGGGTGCATGCAGTCAATTCACCACTTAATGTAAAAAAAAGTTTCCAGTAAACAGTGTTTCAAGTCTCACCAAAAAAAAAAAAAGGAACAAGGTTGGAAAGCCAGCTCCTCTCCCTTTAGAGGTTTACCTCCTTTCTAGTCAGGCTTGGAGACACACACCTGTAATTTCAGCACTTTGAGGCAAGAAGTTCCTGCCCGGCCTGGACAGTCTAGTGAGACACCGTCTTTAAAAAATAAAACATCTCTTCGAAAACTTTACCGCCTTTGAAGAACACTGATCGGAGAACTCGTGGTAGATAGCACGGTCAGGCTTTCAGCTCCACGTTTTATTCTAAAGGCATCTTCTGACCTCCTTCTTTCAGATTGTGAATGTCACCGTTGGCTCCTCGCGGGTGGCTCCTCGGAGGGGCCCGGTGAATATCATCTTTGCTGTTAAAGGCATGCAAGGCTTCCTGAACGGGTCGGAGGTGAGCGATCTGCTCAGGAACCTGACGGTGGTGGAGTTCAGCTTTTACCTGGGGTACCCGGTGCTGCAGATCGCAGAACGTGAGTACTTCCTGGCTCCTTGGGAGCGCTGGGGAAGGGGCTGCCCGGATTTTTGTGGGTAGATCTCTACTTTAAAAAGAGACCCAATTGGCGGGGCAGTGGTGGCGCACACCTTTAATCCCAGCACTGGGGAGGCAGAGGCAGGCAGATCTCTGAGTTTGAGGCCAGCCTGGGCTACAGAGTGAGTTCCAGGACATCCAGGGCTACAACGGAGAAACCCTGTCTCGGAAAAAGAAAAAAAAAAACAAGAGAGAAAGAAAGACCCAGTTGTTCTAGAGTGCTTTGGGGCTCATAGTAAATGACATCCAGATGGAGAGAGGATTTTTCCTGTGCTCCTGCTCACTCACAGGTACGACGTCTCCGTCATAACATTCTGGCCGGAGTGGCCCACTGATCACCAGAGGACACATACTGACACAGGCATCCCAGAGCCTGTAGGTTTATGGTGGGGCTCACGCTTCGCAGTTGAAATGAATGTGTAGTGCTGTGCACCTGCCTTCATAATGTTGTACACAGTAGGTTCACTGGACCTTCTTTTCCATAGGACATATTTGACTGAACTCCTGAATAAAATCAGGACTTACCAAGCCCAGCCAGGGCAGGCTCAGAGCAGTTCTCTGCCCCTGTGCCCCCCTTTCCTGTGTGCTTTTGAGAATAAAGGGGCACTATAAACAGTGTACTGGTTCTGGAGAACAGGACGCCATAGGGATGGGGAACAGCTATTCGGGGGTAAAGGTGGAGAGGACATTGGTCTGCAGAAGGGGAGTGGAGGTGGATTTGGGGATGGAGGCTAGGGAATGAAACTTCCGGGTCCTCACTTGGTGATGCTTATGCAATGGGGCATTTCCCCAAACCCATGAAACCGGATGCCAGAAAGAGTGAACTTTACTGTGCATTAAGTTAAAAAATACATAAAAAAGTAATAAATGAAAACAACCTTCCTGGTTGGAGCAGTCAGATTGCCAGGCAGCTGGGGAAGACGAGGGGGATGTTTGCTTTAGAAAGCAGTACATCCAGAATTAAGGGCAGGCAAATAAATAAAATAAAATTCTTTTGGAAATGGACCAGCCAAGTATCCTAAACCATGTTTCTTAATGGCTTTCAATATATTATTAATTAAGTTAAGAAGAAGCTATAAAATATGAAGGTGGGGCTGCAGGCCTGGTGCAGTGATTAAGAGTACATACATGGTGCTCTTGTGTAACTCCTTCTCCAGGGGCCGCTGGGGGCACCCACGCTCACATGTGTACAGATACACATACAAACACACATGATTAAAAATGAACCATAAAGTGGGGTGGGGTGGTCCACATCTTTAATCCCAGCACTCAGAAAGCAGAGGCAGGCTGATCTCTGTGAGTTTGAGGCCAGCCTGGTCACAGAGCGAGTTCCAGGACAGCCAGGGCTACGGAGTGAAACCCTGTCTCGAAAAAAAAAAAAAAAAAAAAGTACATAAATCATAAAAAATGTATATAGACAAGGAAGTTATTTATATACAACAGTTTTTATTTTTGTACAATATATGTACATACAGCTAAAATAATAAGCAGGAGCACCCAGAGACAGTTCCCAGCAAGCCAGAACATGCTTCACTCTACCGTGACGCATTACTGAGAAAGCTCTTGGCTCTGAAAAACACAGCTTACAAATGCTTTGAGACGTTGCAGTGGCCTGTGTGTGATGCAGTGGTCCGTGATGAGGCCAGAGAAGCCCCTCTCTTTCCTTTTATCCTTCCCTCTCCTAGGGACTCAGAAACTGGTGTCTGTCTGTCTTCATACTCTTGGTATTTGGGGGTCTCGAAGAGTGCTATAGTGTAGGGAAGGTAATGTGCTATGATTTACCCCATGCTCTCAGAATACTTGCCTTTCTGAGTGGAAACGTGTTTCTCACAGTCTTTTTCTCCTCCGACTCTTGCCTTTCGTAGCCTTCCAGTACCCACAGCTCAACCTGTCTCGGTTACTGAAGTCCTCTTGGGTCAGAACAGGTATGTTCAGTTTACGTAATGTTTGGGGACCTCTCCAGTAAGAAGTCTGTGGGGGCATATGGGGAACGACGCACCCTTCCTGATTCATAAATTGAGGACAAGATGTACTTTAAATTCTTGGCAGAGAATGAATGAGAAAAGGGATTCGATTTGGGCTATGGGAATGTGTCCCACTGAGTTATGGCACAGAAAGGACTCCTTTAAAACTCATACATCAAGTCCAGGGCAGAGTCTGCCCGGAATCTGCAGTTGTCTCCTGACCTGACGTAGGATGAAGCTCAGAAGCAAGCTGAAAATACTTTTTTTCTGAAAGTATTGCTAGATGGGGTATTGCTAGTTCGGGAACCAGGGTCAGGTATTTAGACAGACTTGGGCACATCCAGGTTGATACGCCCACAGATAGGGCCATGTATTTAGACTGAGGACATGATATTTCAGTGCACGGCTCTCTAAGAGTCCCAGGTCCCAGTGTGCAGGCAGCATGTGACCGGTCATATGGAAAGAGAGTGTCTAAGTATGGACAGTCGCCGTTTATGGGCTCTGACGCCTGTGTGACCTCAGCTCTTCGTGCATTGTGTAGATGCCGTTTTCCAGACCTCAGAGTGTTGAGTGACTTGCCTGGCATTGGACCTCAGAGAGAGCTGAAACCATTTTGGCTGTTTCCCCATCAACTGGAGGATAAGCCGATTATCTGTTGAGATACTTTTGTCTGATACAGATAGCAAGAAGCAGGCAGATGCCCTCTCCTTAAGGGAGACTGTAAGTCTATGTTCAAAGACAAGATAAAAACTCAGACTGTCCAGAAGTTTGAGGTAGCACAGACTGACGGGACCCTTTGATCTTAATAGATGCTCTGTGCTCAGAGCTCCCACTGCTGAGTTCCTGGGGCTTCTTCTCTTCAGTTTGCCATGGACTTGGGCCACTTGGAGGGCCCTTTACCCTGTTCCCATAGAGTTTCCCCCCTTTATGTCTCCCGTCTAGTAGTTAGTGTTTTGTGGTAATCTTGTATGGGATTTTGCACATGTGCACACATGCTGTGGTCCCTGCCCCCCATGTTCATGACTGTCTATGCTGACTTGCTCTGAGTGCACTGTTTCTTGTTGAACACAGTCCTCCTGGGAGTTGTGGAGAAGCAGCTCCATAATGAAGTGTTTCCGGCGGAGATGGAGCGCAAACTGGCCCAGCTGCTCAGTGAGGTGCCTACCAGGAGAAGAATGTGGCGGAGGGCCACTGTGGCCGCTGGGAACAGTGTGGTGCAGGTACTCACTCAGGAGGGTAGGGAGCGGAGGAAAAGCCCCTGGAAATCTGCTGTTTTCATGCAAGTGGGAAAAGCCTGACGTGAACTGATTGTTCTACTGAACATGGCAGCCTTGTGAGTTGACTTAGAGTCTAGACAGAAACCTTAGCAATTCATTGGCCTAGCCCTAGAATACAGGGAGTGTGGAAGAAAACTTACCACTGGGTTCCTGTGTCATCATAAGGCTTTGTTTTCTGAAGAGCAACTTTTAAAATCACCAGCAGCTGACCTTGTTTTATGGTACTAGCAGCATTTTAGAAATGAATCCTTGATGGGGGAGTCGTAAGCTGACAGAGGGACATTTTCAGAATTCTCATCTTTCCCACCTCCCGCCAACCTGGTTGTCTTCTGTTACCCAAATTGTCTTCTCTCTGGGAACCAGGCAGGCAGACCACAGGAGCAGATCTGTTTGAATTGAAAAATGACCTATTTAAAGACACACATACTCACAGAACTTTGGGGGTGGAGCTGCTGTTTAATTCCTGTCTCAGTGTGAATGGTATGAGTCTCTTGCTCTACCAGTCAATTACAGGCTTGGAGGATCACAGAACATTTCAGAAACCCAGAACTAGGGTGAAACCCAGCAGTGAAGGGTGACAGGTGGGTGGGGCAGGGGTGTGAGAACAAGATGGGGAAGTGGCATGGGTAGGTCAGGGTGCCAGTTTTACCTAGAAGTACTGTCCCTGTCCACCAGTGCCTTCACCAAATGCGTCCCTCCTGGGCTTGCTTTCTCTTCCCCGCCCGGACACGCGGTTCTTAGGCTCCCCGAATGGTTTCCTTGCCAGGTGCAGTCACCCCGGGGAAGCTTACAGAGTGCTAAGATTTTAAACATTTGTTTTATTATTTTTAATTATGTGTATGTGTGTAAGGGTGCGTGCATGTGAGTACGGGGGCCTGCGGAGGCCTCTGAAGCTGGAGTTACAGTTGGCTGTGAGCCGCCCGACATGGGTTCTGGGACATGAACTCAGATCTCTGAGAGCAGTATGTGCTCTAAACCACTGAGCCATCTCTCCAGCCCCAAATACTAAGAAATGAATAAAAAAACTAATAAAAAAGAAAGGAAAAAGCACTGGTAAATGACTGTTAATTAAATAAGCATACAACAAAATAAACATTAAGATGAATCATGAAGGCCTTGCCTTATCCAATAGCCCATGGCTCCACAAGGGCTGAGTGTGCATGTAAAGCAGTTACAGAGCACCAGGAACCTGGGTGATCAGGTGATAAACTGGATACTCCAGCTTCTTAAGGTAGGAACATCGCATCTGTGGAAGGTAACCAAGCTTCCTCAGACCAGTGCCACCTGACGGATTGCCCGGAGGCCACTCTCTGTTTCTGGTCTCTACAAAGGGTGTTGTGTTCAGAAGTACAAGGCTCTCTGCCTGAACCTTACTTCTGAAAATGAAAATACTGAACAGGGGCTAGTGAGATGACACTTGCTACCAAGTCTGATGACCTGAGTTTGAGCCCCAGGCCTCACATGGTAGAAGGAGAGAGCCGACTCTGGCACGTGCGTGTGAGTGCAGGGGCCTCCTGCATGTTGTCCTCTGTACACTTCCACCTGTAAAACAAGGAGGGACACGTGTGCCCACACACAAACAAACAAGTGCAATTTTAAAAACTAATAAAAGAGCCAGGCATGGTGGTGCACACCTTTAATCCCAGCACTAGGGAAGTAGAGGCAGGCAGATCTAAGAGTTAGAGGTCAGCCTGGTCTGCAGAGCGAGGTCCAAGCCTGCCAAGGGTACAGAGTGCGACCTTGTTTCAACCCCCTCCCAATTAACAAAAGAGATAAGAAAATATTGAGCCAACATATAACTCTCTAGGAATCAGGGAGTGGGTAAAGAGTAAATCTTTATGTATTGGAATGTCCTCCAGCAATTTAAAAAAATTAGTAATACAGAAATGTGCTCTGAAAAGGAGCTGTAGAGAGGAACTTGAAGAACAACCCTGAAGTAATACAGAATTTTCACAGGGAACTATGCTCAAGTCTTTAGAGTGGTTTTCTGTAATTGGTTGAATTTCAAGAGGGTTTCATTTTATTCTGTATAGTTTTTTACATGTGTTTTTCAAAATTTCTTCATTGGGCCACATAATTTTGTATAATACACACATACTTTTAGTCACCCAAGTGGTTGACTCGGAGATACCTTGTATATTGTGGTTCCCAATATATATCTGATTAGCCATCATCCAGAAAGAATGCTGGAGTTAGACCTTCCTATGGCTCCTTCTAGACTGGACAGCTTTCACAGTCTTTAATCAAAGTGGCTACCACTGAGAGTGATTTCCATGAGAAGAAGCTGTAGCTCCTGTATTCCCCAGACTTTCTAGTCTAGAGGGTAGAAGTATAGGTTCACTCCCATGGCATGGTGAGCTTGTTGGAGGTTGTTGGTACAATTCCAGACTGTCTGGTGCTGTTCTATGCATGCTGTTGGTCCCTTTGTCTCAAAGAAGACATTGAAACAAAGTATAGTTGCTATTCTACACAGAGGGACTTTCCTTGTAACTCTGTCTCCACCAGTAGAGAGCACCGAGGAGATTCTGGGACTCCCGGATGTGGTAGTGAGCTTTGGAAGAGTGCTGGGACAAATCCCAAGTCACACACTAGGGATTGAGTGCCCTGAGAAGGGGCATTGGCAGCCTGAGCTTCCCTGATGCTGATGGACTCCGTCTGTCGCAGGTAGTGAACGTGTCCAGGCTGGAGGGAGACGACAATCCCGTGCAGCTCATCTACTTTGTGGAGAATCAAGATGGAGAGAGACTCAGTGCAGCTGAGTCTTCAGATCTGATCAACAAGGTAGACCTTCAGAGAGCGGCCATCATCTTAGGCTACCGGATTCAAGGCGCCATTGCCCAGCGTAAGTTCAGGAGTTTTACCCTGTCGAGCATGCTGGGGTCCAAAGCCTCTTGTGTTCTGATAGAGATCTCTGAACTACTACGACATTCTGACCGGTGTGTAGATTTATGTCCTAAAACCTTGTCCTGAAGTGGTGCTTACGGGAGAGGCTGGTTGTTGATGTCCATTTGCTGAGACTTTCTTATATTTTTCTTAATTTATTAAAAATTACAAAGTATACACTCCATGTGTGCACACACATGTATGCATGCAATGGTGATTCTGTGGAGATCAGAGGACAACTTTGTAGACTCAGGTCTTTCCTTCCATCTTTATGGGGTTCCGGGGTTCCAACTCAGGACATCAGGCTTGCGTGGCTTTATTTGTATTTCTTTGCTGAAACCCTCTTCATTTTTATTTCCATCTGTGTGCCTGTGGCCACTGCTGTTGTTTTTCCTACCTCACACCTCATATTCATGGAGTTACTGGTGAGTCACAGGACCTTACATCAACACAAACACCCTTTCCCTACCCTGTACTAGTTTTCACTTTAAAAACTGTCTTAGGTAAAATAATGTACCTATTCTGTTTTTATTCCAAAATCTTCCATGTCACACCCTGCATGTTGGTGGGGACAGTGAGTCACTCAGGAAGCTGGGAGGTGCCCTCTAGGTTGACTGGCTTCCTTCGGGGTCTTTTAGCACAAAGGAGTCCCTTGATCCTCACTCTCTCCTCAGTGTGTTTCTCCCTCACCTCACGCTGCTCCCCAGTTAGAAAGACGTGTTTGCTAGTTCTTATTATTTTTGGAAGGTACTGGGCCCTGCCCTCTGGCAATGATTGCTCTCAATACCTCTTTTCTAAATGCCAGATTTGGGGTGTGTATCGAAAATGAAGAAATGGGGAGCAGCATGGAGAAAATAACTCTGTAAATAGGATTTTACAAGTCAGACTGCTGTAAGTCTTCGCGTGGTGTTTTCCCTCCATGATCCAGAGCAGCCTTGATAGTGTGTGGGAAAACCTGCTCCCCGAAGGAGAGGGATAGGCAGATGTCTTAATAGCAGACGAGTACTGAAGAACTTTACTGAGGAGAGGTAGGAGACAATGCAAGTTTTTTTTTCCTTCATCAGTATGTTTATTAAAAAGATAGACTGATAGACCTGTGCTTAAATGTCATTGTGGATGCATGCTGATGTCCGTAAAATGGGCTCTTCACAAATATACCCTAGACAGCTATAAAGATGCAATCAGAAATGACCACTAAGACAGTCCCATTTCAGACATAATCTTGTAATTAACACTTGTAAGAAAGTAGAGTTGGCATAATTTACAATCCATGAACACTCACAGAGGCCAAGCGTCACAGACATAAGGGCATGCTATGACCACAAGACATGTTTTTGTACTTCTCAAGTAGCTTTGTGTTTCATTAGGAAGATCAGTTATTACAGCCTAGTTTGTCTGTAACAAGTGGAACTTTTATGTTCACTCTGTCAGTTACAACTCTCTGGACGAAATCATTAGCCAGCTTCTTTATAGCAGGCATTTCATGTGCCTCTCAGTCCTCATTTAATACCCAGTTTCTTTCATGTAAATGGAGTAATGGGGCTGGAGAGATGACTCAGTGGCTGTGAACACTGGCTGCTTTTGAAGATTACCTGGGTTCAGTTCCGGGCACCCTCATGACCATCATAATTCCAGTTCCAGGGGACCCTGGCACCCTCTTCTGGCTTCTGCAGGCACCAAACACACAGGGCACATTCATACATCTAGGCAAACACTCATTCATATATATATATATATATATAACAATAAATACATCTCTAAGATAAATGGAGTGACTCTAGCAGAGCCATATGGATGAGGATGTTCCCTATGGAGGCAATCCACCCCCAGGCATCTTCTGGTTTCTGTCTTCATATCCTTCAGGTCCAACTTCTGGAACATTGCAGCCCAGTTACATCAGCTTTAAGCTGTTACACTCTGCTCTCCCTGATAAAGTCAACAATGCAGTTTTAAACTCTTTAATTTTATTTTTTTATTTTACGTGTACTGGTGTTTTGCCTGTATAGGTATCTGTGTACCACATATATGCAATACCCACAGAGGTCAGAAGAGGGCATTGCATCCACTGAGACTGGATTATGGAGGATTGTGAACTACCATGTGGATGCTAAGAACCAAACCCAAGTCCTCTGGAAGAGCAGCAAGTGCTCTTAACCACCGAGGTGTGCCTCCAGCCCAGCTTTTAAACAGTCCCTTTGAAATCACCCTTTGGAGGAGGCTTTGGGGGAAATCAGTCCTTGTCCCTGGAGACTAACCAGCGTGAGGGCCGCTGTGTGCACTTCCTTCGTCTGATGGACAGTGAGAGAGATGATGTGATACCGTTAGTAGGCTGTTTGGTGTGCCCGAGATGACTGCGTAGTGGGGTCTGTTTCAAATCAGTGAGGAACTAATAAAAAAGCACTTCCTAACACTGCATCCAGAGCCGGGGGCGGGCGATGAGAGGGCTGCCTCCCTCCATGGTGTATGCAAGCTTGATTTTGAGAGGATACAGGCACTTTTCTGTTGGGGGTTGGCAGGGAGTTAGGAAATGATGGGGGTGCAGATTTTCATGTACTGGCCTATCCAAGCAAGTCAGCAATCCTCCAAGTGCTTGTCATTGACCACAGCGTTACAAGATTAACCGGTGCTGGCTTTATTAAATAATGAGAAATCCACAAGTAGCTTCTAGCTGGCCCCAAAGCTAAGAGAAACCAAAGGCAGGAAGGAGTGAGAGCAGGTAAACTAAAAACAGTGAAATGTGGTGAGCCATTTCCTCCATCTAAAATACACACGCTGACTTGGACCACACACATGCCGTGAGACCCCAACAAGTTCAGATGACTCCTACAGAACCCACACAGGGGGTTCCAGGCCTATCTGTGCACGGTAGGGCTTCTATAGCTTCGCTAGCCCACACAGTAAATTCTACACAGCACACATGTATACCACCCCTCGTGACGTGGCTTTCCATACTAAACATGCATGTGCAAGGACCCAAAAAGGCCCAGCCTGCTTTCCACACACATGGGGCTCTGTGTCCTCACCTAGGAACGGTGTCCGCCTGAGTCTGCCTGACCTCTCAATAAAAGCCCTGAGAGCAAAGACTTAGGGCGGGCGCGTCTTTCTGACCTGCCCACCTTCCTGTCTCAAGGTGTGCTCTGCTCATTTCATTAAAAGCTTACTTCACCCTGGTCTTGTTCCCCTCTCCTTCCTTGTCCGTGACAGGTCCTAACTTGAGTCTCCTGACCTGAGGACCGCTCCAGGCCATGTGGGCAAACATGCTGGGATTTCAGGGCTGGTAGAAGAAGCCTCACTTCCTACCAGGGCCAGCCAGAGGGACCTTGAGGACACCTGCCTCTCTGTGGTTTTCCTAGATTAGAACTCAGAAGAATACCAGTTCTCTCAGCTCCTCCATTGAACTGTCAGCATGCCCATTTTTGTTTGTTCTTAGGCATCATGAGCTGTTTATGTAAATTCCATCCAGGCCACACTTTAAAATACAGACCTTGTTCTCTCCCTGTTAAACATAAACTTCTCTAAGACTTTTTGTTGGGGGTAGAGAGAAGGCTCAGTGGTTAAGAGCACTGGCTGCTCTTCCAGAGGACTTGGGATGGATTCACAGCGCCCGATAGCAGTTTACAACCCCTATAACTCCAGTTCCAGGGGATCTGACACCCTCTTCTGACCTCCGAATGCACTGCATACATGTGGTACACGGACATACATGTAGGCAAAGCTCTCATGCATCCAAAATAAAAATAATCTATAATAATAATAATATAATCTTTTTGTGTTGTTGCTCCATCTCTGAGCAGACATATTTTGATCCTGGAGCAGGAATTAGCTACCGTGACAGGAAGAAGCTCAGAGCTTCGTCCCTGCCAATCACAATTTAGGGGTGTTTGAAAAGACAGTGTTGGAAGCTGGGGTGAGCGGAGCAAGGAGGAGCTGTACAGCATCTAAGACTGAGAATGAATGAAGGGGCGTTTTAAGAGAGCAGTAAGGCACCGGAAGTGAGAAGGATCAGCAAGGAATGAGGACACAGGGCAGAGGATCGGCCAGCGAAGGGAATTGGCGAGGGATGGGAGCAGAAGGGTCCGTGCAGGGTTATCTGAGGCGTGGAAGGTGAGAGGCTGCGGTGTGTGGGCACGGCTGTGAGTGCAGACAGGCGATTCCAAAGGAGTACAGTTCGCTTTAATGCCATCCAGTTATCGACACCTTTAATAAAGCAGTTTCCAGTAAGGTCCATGTTCCCAGGGTTCACAGGTCACAGGTGAGGAAGACAACACCCCGAAACCCCATGTTCAGACTTCCGTTTCCTAACAAGCATTCCCTTTAGTTAAACCCAAGAGTCTTCTTTATGGGGAGCGGGGTGATAAAGTACATGTATTGGAGGGAAAAGGGAAGGGGAAACTACGTAATTATAATCTCAAAACCAAAAGGAAAGAAGACACCTGTAACCCTGTTGACCTTCTCCAAACCATCTTGACACACATGAACAAGTGGCATCGGCTGTACTCAGTGTTTGCAGCGACCTCCTCTCTTCTTTTCCAGAGCTTGCCACTGGGTACAGAAGCTCTGCCCGCTGGGTAGTGGCCCTCAGGTCCTGGAAGCCAATTTTCTTCTCTCTATAAATCTGACTGTTGTAGGTGCCTCTCTGGTACGACGCTTATCCTTGTGTGTCTGGCTTTTCTCGAAGAGCATGTTTTCAGAGTCCGTTCCGGTCGTGGCTATTTTGAGGTTCCTTTCTTGGTCTTCTTTTTTCTTCTGTGTTTGTGTGCGAGACAGGTGTCCCACTCTGTCATTCTCCACCCAATTCCTCTGAGACAGGGTCTCTCACTGGACCTGGAGCTAGGCTGGTGGCTGTTAAGCCCAGCCATTCTCCTGTCTGCTCTATAGGGTTTTGGGGTTACAGGTGGGACTGTGACCATGACCTTCTTTGACCTGGGTGCTGGGGGTCTGAATTCAGGTCCTTCTGTTTATCCAGCAAGTATGCTTACCTGATGAGCCAGCTAGCTCCACAGTACCCCACTTCCTGCTGAAAAGCTGACTAGTGCTCTGCTGTTTGGGCATACCACATTTTGTCTATCCGTTCACACAATGGTAAGTGCAGCCGTGAACAGCACCATCTCCGTCAGGTTTTCAGGTGCTGAGGTGGACGTGCCCAGTTGCCTTTGTTATGGTGCTGTAACTTGTAGTTGGACATTTTTGTTGGGACCGTCAGCTCCCCAATAATGACATGGAGACTTATTACTGATTATGGAAGCTTGGCCTGTACCTTAGGGCTTGTCCCACTAGCTCTTGTAACTTAACCCGTTTCTATTCATCTGTGTGCTGCCCCGACGAGGCTCGTTTACCTCATCTACGTACTGTCCATCCTGCTTTCCTGCTTCCTTCCTGTCTGGCTTGCAACTCTGCCTTTCTTCTTCCCAGCGTCCTCTGTGCCTGGAATTCCTGCCTAGCTACTGGACGTTCAGTTTTTTAATTAAACCAATCAGAGCGATACATCTTCACAGTATACAAAAAGATTATTCCAGACACCATTATTTCAGACACCATTATTTGGGGATTCACTGCTTGGTAGCTTTCCCTACTGCCATTAGAAGCAATGCACTCCGAGGGCTTTTGTCTGCTAGTGCATCAGCACACCTTGCCTTTAGAATGGTGTCTGGCACCATTAGTAAACATTTGTAGGTAAGGACACAGAGGGAAGTGAGTTGGTAGAATGGGGAAGAGCTTCCTTCCCAGATCTCCAAGTTCCAGCTCACGTTCTTTCCAGAGACCTGGAGGGTCATGCCTGCTCCCATTGGATACGGTGCTCACAGCTGTGTCTTGACCACGTAGCTGCTCTTCTCATATTTGAAGAGAACCATTTTGAATGAGGCTGTACAGAACTCTTTTATAAGATGTTATGGAGCAGGAAGAATAAACTAGACACCAAGAGACTAGAACCGACCAAACTTTGTCCTCTGGCACATTGTATGTGTCATTGTGAACCCTGGTGTGTTCCTTGTGCGACATGCGAATGTGTCTGGTTATTTCCGTGGCGTGAGCTGTATGACAAACCCCCGAGTCTCTCGGAGGAAGGCAAAATCTATCCATCGAGTGAGTGAAGAGCATGTTGCTGAGAGCCTTTCTCCCTCCTCTGCTCATCTGCAGCTGTGGACAGAATGAAGAGGCCGTCCCCCGAGTCACAGAGCAGCAACCTGTGGGTCGTGGTTGGCGTGGTCATCCCGGTGCTGGTGGTCACTGTGATTGTCGTCATCCTCTATTGGAAGCTGTGCCGCACAGACAAGCTGGATTTTCAGCCTGACACGGTGGCCAACATACAGCAGCGGCAGAAGGTAAGCCCCCACCTCAGTGTCCACGTGAGCATCCTCGTGGGGCAGAAACAGGTCCAGGCTTGGATGCGGGAGGACAGGGAGGGTCTGGTCTAACGGGGGTCCTCTGTCTTCATGTCTGTTTACCATGGCCCCAGATCTCTGTATTAGTAATACAACCCAAGAACAAGACCTGTAAAAACATGCAGAGTGAGCCTGGGGTCCACTGTGATTTTAATCTGAGAGGCTCAGTAGATCACTTCATCCTGTGAATTAATTGTGATCTGTTCACTCTGGCTATTTTTGAAGAGCAGTGGCCATCCTTCAGATCTGTGTATCTTTCTTCACACAGATCCACTAGATGGCTCTTAGTTTCTTTCTGTTCATGTTGGGAACCCATTTTTGTGTGTGTGTGTGTGCGCGCGCGTGCGCATGATCGTGCCTGAAGAGGTCAGAAGAGAATGTTGGATCCTGTGGAGCTGGAATTAGAGGTGCTTGTGAGCCACCCAGTATGGGTGCTGGGAACCAAACTCTGGTCCTCTGGAAGATCAGCAAGTGATCTTAACCACAGAGCCATCTCTCCAGTGCCCATTTAAGCATTAAAAATTGGTCCGAGGAGTTTTAAACTTCAGTGTTATGACGGCCTTCAGTCTTGCAGCAGATCCACTTCTTTGTTGTTGCAGCCAGTGGTTGTCTGCCGAGAAGGACTCAGAGCTGCTCTTGAAACAGACAGGGCCTATGCCAGCTGCTGCTCCTCATTTGTTATTCCTTAGATCAGGACAGAGAATCGCAGCTGCAGATTCTCTAGGTTTTTTTTTAATGCACCTTTCCACATTTCCCATGCCCTGATGAACTCCCTAGTGGGTTTTTATTTTTTTGTTTCCTCTCCCCGTTTGTTTGTTTGTTTTTTAAGTTGATTTACCCATACCTAATTTGATAGCAATTGTTTTAGCTCCCCGCTTTTCTTTCTTTCTTTTTAAGATATTTACTATAAATAATATATATAATATTATGTATAAATTATTATTAGTGTTACACACACACACACACACACACACACACACACACACAGAGTGTTCTGTCTGTGTGCTAGAAGAGGGCACCAGATCTCATTATGGATAGTTATGATCCACCATGTGGTTGCTGGGAATTGAACTCAGGACCTCTGGAAGAGCAGTCAGTGCTCTTAACCGCTGAGCCATCTCTCTAGCCTCCCACTTTTCATTTGTCTCTCCAAGCATTCAGTTTTGTAGAAATATCAATTCTTTTTTTTTTATAATTTATTTATTTTTATTTCATGCACATTGCTATATGTTTGTGTGAGGGTGTCAGATCCCTGGAGTTACAGACAGTTGTTAGCTGCCATGTGGGTGCTGGGAATTGAACTCAGGACCTCTGGAAGAGCAGCAAGTGCTTTTAACCGCTGAGCCATCTCTCCAGCCTCCCACTTTTCATTTGTCTCTCCAAGCATTCAGTTTTGTAGAAATAGCGGTTCTTTTTTATGTGAGTATTTCGGGACTTTCTGTGATTTTTTTTTTTTTTTTTTCGTCATGAGCTTTCATAGCAAAGAAAATGGCTTGGGGTCATCATGCAGCAGCTCACCTGGTGTGAACAAAAACTTCGCCTGCATTCCAGAGAAAGCCTCTAGCTGTAGCCATTGACCAGCATGCATTTCAGCATCCTGTGCAGTCCGTCTGCTGCATTGATTAGCACATGCCTACCATGTAAATCTTGGAAGGCTTGCTCTGTTCTGAAAGTGATAAGATCAAGCAAATGGCAAAAGAGCAAGAAATCAGAGATTGCCATGGTAACCTTCTGATTTTATTCAGATGGTCTCAGGGAAAAAAAAAATCTGTTAGCCAGGCACAGTGGTGCATGCCTTCAGTCCCAGCACTGGGGAGGTCAAGGTAGGGATATCACAATTCAAGGCCAGCTGGGACTATACAGTTTCTAGAAACAAAACCAAATGGGCTGGGGATGGCTCAGTGATGAAAGCATTTGCCAGAACGAGTAAGGACCTGTTTAGATCCTCCACACCTACATAAACGCTGGGGGAGTGTGGTGCTGCCTGTAATCCCAGAACACCTGGGGAGGAGACCGGCTCTCTGGGACAAGATGCCTACCTAGACTCGATGGATCTGCGAGCTCTGGGCTCAGGGAGAGACCCAGCCTGAGCGTGATCAGGGAGACAGCCAACATCAGCTCACACACACGTGAACATGCATCCACCACATACCACACACACATAACCCATGGAAAAAACAAAAGCAAAACAAAAACCATAAATATTACAAACCTCAGCCTCCTAAATGAGAAAGTAAGTTTCATTTTTAAATTTATTATATACCTAAAATAGTAAATAAGGAGTATTTTTTATGAATTAATCTAATGAAAAAATCTTAATTATATCGCAAGCTTGTTGCTGTCAGTATGCTAGCAGCATTTTGTACATGAATATTCTCTTTCCCACCCATCCGCACTTATTTACACATGCGCTAGCGTCTGTAGTTGTTACAGTAACAAATGACGTGGAAAAGGTGCCTGCCATGGTGCTCAGTGAGTCGCAGCATGAAATCAGATCAACAATGGGGAGGAAAATGTTTTGTTCCGGTGAAGGAGTGTTGTTACAGGGAGACTTAACCCGTACAGAGGGCTGTGTGTTTGGGTCTTTTCTGTTCTTTGTTTCTCCCATACACACTCCTTGGAGAAGCCTTGTCCACTATAAACTGTCGGCCGTCAGCGTCCTTAAGCTGAAAAACAGGGTATCCTTCAAGCTTTCCCCTCTCAATTCTACTTCTGTCACATTTCCATGTGGCAGATGTTGCTATAAATCAAATGGATGGTTCCAAATAGAACTTCCAGCCTGGGGAGTTCTTTTCTTCAGGGGCTGCAGGGGTCTTTGTGTATGCACTTACAGCCTCGTTGCCGCAAAGATCTGCGTGGTAGGACCCCAAGGAAGTGACTGTCTGCTCACACCATCAGAGGCAAGACTGTGTCTTCTTTTGCTGACATTACAGCTCTCTGTGCAGGCTCCCATGGGTCTGCAGTAGGAAGACCGTGACCCGGTCCCATTAGTTTAAAACAAACCTCTCCTCTCTTCTGAGCCTGCACAGCTGTGGGGAAGGGTCTGTCGCCTGTCCCTGAGGGAACGAGTGAGGCGCTGTCCTCCTGTGACTGTAGGACATGTCCCTGCTCCTGTGGCTTTCTCTCCCCATCCTGCTCAGCCCACCCCTGATGCTGCCCTGTGTTACTCTGTGAAATCCTCCAGCAGATCTCAGAGTTGCAAACATCTGGAAACAATAAATCTACTGACCTGCGTTCCCCACCCCCTTCGTCCTATAACGAAGAGACTGCTTCAGATTGTCTGAGGGTCCGTGATTTCTGAAATATGATAAGGGGGAGAGACCAATGTGTCTGAGGTTTCCAGGCAGGCCTTTCCGATTTCCAGTAATAAAGGGGAGGCTCCATGGATCTTTCCTTTATTTGTATTTGCTTTCATCTCTGCCCAAAGCCATCATTTGTTATTATTACCTACAAAACTGGTGTGGATCCTTCTCACCATAATTGGTTGGATGCTTCTGGGCCCCACGGCAGTGTGTTTCTTCTGATGGGAACGGCCCCTACCAATTATTATCACAGAATTGTAGCCCCTGGGTGGTTCACACCCTCAGTTGCTACTGAAGTTGGCACTGTGGGCAGCCAGGAGGAGCTGCCCACACCATGAACATCCATTGTCTGGACTCCTAAGTGTTCAGGTCAGACTCAATTACAAGCACAAACAGCAGGCACTCTCTCTGTCTTATAGGGTGATAGTTATGGAGAAGACCCAGTCTTCCCCAAATTGACCTGGAGCAATACAAGCGTGGCAAATGTGGGCTATGGCAGCTTGGAGGGAGGGCATTCTCCTGCCTTCTGAGAGGTGATGCTGGGCTGGAGCTGAGGTGTAAGAGCGTGTCGACCTCCGTCTTAGTCACTGTTCTGTTGCTGTGTGGCGACACTCTGACCAAGACAGCTCTTACAAAAGAAAGCATTTAATTGGGGTCTTGCTTACAGTTTCAGAGGCTTAGTCCGTTATCATCACGGTGAGAACGGTAGCACACAGGCAGATGTGGTGCTAGAGAAGAACCTGAGAGTTCTACATCTGGATTTGCAGGCAGTGGAAAGAGAGAGAGACTGATTGGGCCTGGCATGGGCTTTTAAAACCTCAGAGCCCACCACCACTGACACACTCCACCAAGGCCACCCCCCCTAGTCCTCTTCATCCTTTCAGAGTCCCTTTCTGGTGACTAAGCATTCAAATGTATGAACTGATGGGGGCCATTCTTACTTAGCCACTACTACAACTCGGAAAGGGTGTAAAGGCTTAAGGAGAGCTGGAGCAAGCCTGTAAGGGCACAGCCGAAACTCATGTGACAGGGGACCCATCTCAAGAGCCTTGCAGAAGTCTGTGGGATTGGAACTGGTACCACAGGCAGCCATTGCAGGGTATCCGACAAGGGGAACAGTCTGGACAACTGTTGTTTGCAGTGGTCACTTGGGAAGGCAGTGCAGATAGTTCCTTGAAGAGAAGTGCCGCTGGGTACTCCTCCCTAGCTCCAGGCTCGGAATCTTCTGGATGGTTCACCCAGTCCAAGGCTGCCCTTGGTTCAGTGTGGCCTGTGTGAACCAGCACGTTTGAGTGTTCTCCCACAGCTCCGGGACCACAGCTCCCCGGGTGGCGGAGCCGAAGGCCAACAGATGGCTGTAACTCTGCCTTGTCTTCACTTTTAAAATGGAAACACCATGGTGGCTGTGGGGATTTTTCATCAGCTGTTATCAGTCACGTAGTAAATTCATACAATGGCACTCTCCACACCATCGCAGGGTGTTCTGTTCAGACACTTTTGGGGGTTTGCTGTTTGGTTTCTGTTGTCATCTTTCCCTGGGGGTCAGGTGGACCCTAGCACTGGGGGCTTTGCCGCGCCGTGTTCCACCTGGGTCTTGTTATATTTACGGCCCACGCGTTTTAAAATTCATCCTGCGTC